GAGAAATGCTGCAGTGCTGTGGGGCACGGAGGGATCCTGGGTTTCTGGGTCTTTTCAGTGATGAGAGGCAAGCAGGACGATCACCCTACAGCATGGTGCCCCATGACGGGGAGAGCCCTGCAGCTCGAAAGGTTGGGAGCAGAGCTGACCATGTGGTCCATCTAGCTCTACCTCTAGTAAGCTTGGGGCTCTAGGACAGGATTTTTTTAAATATTTTTTTTATGTATTTATTTATTTTTATGTGGTGCTGAGGATCGAACCCAGCACCTTGCACGTGCCAGGTGAGAACTCTACATCTGAGCCACAACCCCAGCCCCAGGATTTTTTGATATGTATGTGTAAACTTAAGTTTTGAATAGGTAATAGATTCTAATGTTCATAAATTTTCTTTCTTTCTTTCTTATTTCTGGTACTGGGGATTTAACTTAGGAGTACTTAACCACTGAGCCAAATCCCCAGCCTTTTTTATTTTTGAGGCAAGGTCTCATTAAGTTGCAAAGGGCCTCACTAAGTTGAGGTTAGCTTCACTAAGTTAGTTAACCTCACTAAGGTTAACTAAGGTTAGTTAACCTCACTAAGCTGAGGTTAGCTTCAAACTTGCAATCCTTCTGCCTCAACCTCCTAAGTCACTGGTTATTACAGGCATATGCCACTGTGCTTGGAAAGCTGACATTTCTTTATGCTTCAGTTTCCTCTTTTAAGAAAGGAGAGTTATTTATTTATTTATTTGGTGCTGAGGATCGAACCCAGGGCCTCACATGCCCTAGGTGAGCCACAACCCCAGGCCCAAAAAAGGAGAGTTATGAGACTGGAATAAAGTTTCAATGGGGTAATTGGTATAAAGTGCTCAGAACCGTTCTTGATGCATAGTATTGATTAAATTATTATGAATCGCTGCAGTGTCCCTTGGGATCTTTCACTCCTTTATATCTTCAGCCACAAGGCAGACTGTGTATCCTTGGTTTCACCTTGGTATTTTGCAACAATGGCTACCATTTTCTGAGACCTGTCTCAGATCCTGTGTGCATTATTTCATTTATCTTTCTCACAATCTTCAGAGTTAGATATTTTGAGCCTCATGTTACAGATGTGGAAACTGAAGCTTAGTTCTCAGTTTCCACATCTGTGACAAAATGTCTGAGATAAGCGGCTTACAAGGAGGAAAGGTTTATTTTGGCTCATGGTTTCTGAAGCTTCAGTCCATAGTTGGCCCAGTTGCTTTTGAGTATATAGTGAGGCAATAGATCTTGGCTGCAGGAGCATGTGGCAGAGGAGGTTGCTCACCTGACGGTGACCAGGAAACAGAAAGAGACAGAGAGGAGGGGCAGGGGTCCCAGTGTTCCTTTCCATGGCCCACCACAAGTGTCCAAGCTTCCTTTTGCTAGGATTCACCTCCTAAAGGCTCTACCACCTTCCAGTAGTGCCACCCTGGGGACCAAGCCTTCAGCACGTGGGCCTTTAAGGGACATTCCAGACCCAAACTATAGCATTTGGTTAAGCTACTTGCCCAGGGTCACCTCGTGAGGAAATAGTGGAGTTAGGAATTGAGTCCAGGAGAGGCTGAGTGAAGAGCGCAGGCCTTTCTTGTGATTTGCTCCATCTCTCAATGTGTGCAGGTAGAGATGACCCCAGAGAAGTTCAGTGTCTTGATGGAGAAGCTCTGTAAAGAGGGGCTGACAGCCACCAGCTCCCTGGCCTATGCCAAGCTCGTGCTGACAGTGATGACCAAGTACCAGGCTCATGTGAGTGTTGATAGGGCCACAGGGGCTGGTCCTACTGGCCAGGCTGCTCTGGGTCTGCCATGAGGGTATACAGATTTCGAAGGAAGGAATAAAACACTTGCCAGGGAAACACAAGTTCAAGTCCAAAACTGAGAAATGGGACTGCTTAGGGATTTATTCATCCAGCTAACACCTCTTTGAGCCAGATACTACAGTTAACTATTTATCATGTCTTTCCTGTTCATTAGCCTGAGATTGGAGGACAGGGTCATCTCAAGGGGAGGGACTGCATTGTGGTTACTATGGTTTATCAACACAAGTGGCAAATCTAGCTACAGGCACATGCCATGGTGCCTGAGCTCCATTTTATAGATGAGGAAATGGAGATTCAGAAAGATTAAAGTCATTTACGCAAGGTCACATTGCCAGGACTGGCAGCATTTTATAGGGGGCGCAGTAAGTCAGGGACTGGGCTTTAGTTCTTGGCTGTTGGCATTTTACCTTTTTCTTGGAGATCACAGACCTATTTGTTAATTTCATGAAATTTGCTATAGATCCTCCCAGAAAAGTGAAAATATGAGCATGTCTCTGCTGCACAACTTCAGGGGGTTTCCAGACCCTCTGTAGCTCACGGAAGAGGAATGCCCCATGTGGGGCTTCAGGAGTCTTCTAAGGGAGAGTTATTTGGTCACACTTGCATTATAAAGAAGCCCCTGGTTTTCTTGAGGAGTGGGGATTGGAGAGGGAAGATGCAGGGCCTGGGAGCTGTCAGGACTTGCACCAGCAGGTCAGAAAAGAGAATGAATGCGCGGTCTCAAAGGAAGGTGGCGGGCACAGTGGAGTCTTGAACCTGTTTCCTCATCTGTAAAAGGGAGGGCTGTGAGGACTATGGAGGAATGTGTGCAGGTCTGCCGCATGTAAGCCCCCAACACTTGCCTAATGCTGTTAATTTAACTTATTAGTAAGTTGTGCAACTAGTATTTGATTCCAGACCTACCTGGATCCATGGCTGGCTAACCATGGTGAAATAATAAGGTGTGGTCGCTCAGGAGCCTCCTGCTCTTCCTCCTCTGGTCCTTTGTCCTGGCTTCCTCTCTCCTTCCTAAACAGGGCCCCTGGGGTAGAGAGGCAAGGGGAAGGACCAGTCGCTAGAGTCTTGACATGATTCTTCCTCCTCCCCAGATCACTGAGGCCCAGAAGCTGGACCTGGCCATGGTCCTAGAGTCCAACACCACCTTCCTGAGGAAGTCCCTACAGGCTTCCTGGAAACATCTGGGCCACTGACCATCCAGCAAGGGATCACCTCCTGGAGCTCCGACACCAGTTTCCTGAAGGAGATTTTGCCCTCAGCACCTCTCCCTGACTCCTTGCCTCAGACTGATCCCCGCTGATCCAGACTGACCAACTGCCTCCCTGTTCCAGGCTGCAGAGGCCACCCTGACCTCCCAGTCAGGAGGGAGAGCTCTGGAGTGAAGGGAGGGAGGGGGCTGAATGAACTGTTTGCCAGGGCTGCTGGCCCTGGGCTTGCTCCTCATCACCTCTGAGGCTGCAGAAATGGAAACTTTCTGACAGGCCTAAGTAGTCAATGGCGATGCTCAGTGGGGTCAATGATAGACACACAGTGCTGGAGGGGACCTGGGCCACCTCTGTGCTCAGCACAGCTCTCTTAGGCTCAGGTATGTAATGACCTTCTGTCTTTGTTTTCTAATTTGAATAAATTATCAATAGCATTTAATAAAAAGCAGGTGGTTTAATGATGTCTTATTAGAAGCAGTGCTTGCCTACCTTCCCAAGTAACTCTGGGTACAATTGAGCCATCCCCCACTCCCTGCAACCTCCTGCTCAGTAACAGGAGGCATCCTCTTCCTTATGAGGGGAACAGCGTAGAGTGTTTTTTCTGAAATTCATTTACATTCCCTGTGGGTCCAGTAATATGTGACCACCACCACCACCCACAGCCCCACAGTAGGTGAGGCATGTAGCAACCACTGGGCAGGGGTGTGGTAGGAATGAGGACTTAAAAGGTGAGAGTATCTCAGGCTGGAGTTGGGAAAGGGTTTGGGTCCAATAACATCTCACAAGGGCCGGGCGGTCCTGGGGGTACTGCTGTGGGCAGAGAAGAGGACAGAACATACTTTAAAGGTAGGTAGTGCTGTGGGCCTGTTTTACATCTTTGTATTCCCAAGGCACCTAGCTAAGCCCTTTGTTTACAGAAAACACTTTGAACGTGTAAATGTTACTAAATCAGCTGTCAAGTGAACATTCACTACAGTATCTTCCTAGCTGCAGGCATTGAAGGACCAAGAACAGAACTTTCTGGTCACTTCCCTGACCACAGCTTCCTAGGAAGCCCCAAACCACTATTCAAGCAAGATGATGAGAGAGGAAGGTCAGGGCTAGGGATAAAGCCTGTTTTGTTTTGTTGTAGATGGATATAATACCTTTATATTTTTATGTGGTGCTGAGGATAAAACCCAGTGCCTCGTGTGCTAGGCAAGCACTCTATCACTGAGCCACAACCCCAACCCTAAAGCCCTGTTTTGAGAATAACAGTTGAGGCAGAGGGCAGGAGGAAGTGGGCAGGGGTTTAGGGGACAAACATGCCAGAATTGCATGCTGGCAGTGGCCTTCACCAGTACTATACCCAGTATGTGTGACTACTGAACCCCAGGCCCCGGACCTCTTTGGCTGCTCCCTGCATTGTAGTTACTAAGTTGAGAGGCAAGGTATGGAAGAAAGTAAGTTGACTGAAAATCCAGCTAATCAAGAAGATAGAACTCAAGGTCCACAGCCCTGAGAGCTCTCGCTTCTCTCTTGTGGGGAGGCTAGTTTAGGGACAGTTTATATAGGAAATGGGTGATCCCAGACTGGTGGGCACCTTCTCACAGGTGGAGGTTTGTGACCAAAGGATGCATGATCCTAATTTCACAGTCAGGAGATGCTTTTCAGTTTTGCAAATCTCAACAGCAGAGATAATTATTTCCTTGGGCTACTCTCATCACTGTAGTTGACATTACACATCAGGCCAGCGGGGCTAGCTACCTTGAGGCTTTCTCCCTGACCAACAGATTCAAAGGCTTAAATGAAAATATAGTTCACCTGATTGTCTTGGAAGACAAGGGTCAGGTAAGGTTTATCAGGGAGTCAGCAGAAGTGGTCTCTGAGCTGTTTCAGACTCAGCGCCTTCCCTAAGAGCCTGGCAGCAGCTGGCCAATGGGGACAGTTAAGGTGGGTCCGCTGCATGGCGCGGGCGCCCCCCTGCGGCGACACGCAGCGGCGCTCCTTTGGGTTGAGTCTATCGACTGCGCTCTGGACGTAGTCCGCGGGAACGACATTTCTCGCGAGAGCAGGGCCGCTATTTCTGCGCGTGCGTAAAGTGCCCTAACCTTTTTCTGGTACTGCGGCGCGAGGAACCATGAGGTGAGTACTATCAGAATGCCATCTGCGTTCATCCTCATTTCTTGGTGCCGGGCTGACTTCACCATGGGGCATCTTTACCTCGGGTCGGCTTGCAGGCCTGTTTTCCCGCCAGGTTCTGGGCTCCAGTCGCCCGATGCGGTGCCGGAGAATCCTGTCTTGGGCCGCACGCCCCGGACGCTAGTGGGTGGCGGGCCGGCCCTGAGCGCGCTCGCTTCTCTCCCGCAGCAGCAAAGTCTCTCGCGACACCCTGTACGAGGCGGTGCGGGAAGTCCTGCACGGGAACCAGCGCAAGCGCCGCAAGTAAGTGCAGGCCTCCCCGGAAGCCCAGGTTCCGGGTGGTGTGGGAAGCGGGCCGCTGGTGACGTTGTCCCTTCCTCTAAGGTTTCTGGAAACGGTGGAGCTGCAGATCAGCTTGAAGAACTATGATCCCCAGAAGGACAAGCGCTTCTCGGGCACCGTCAGGTTGGCACCGTCCTGACCCTACCCGGTCCTCAGTGCCCGGTGCTCGTCTGCTCCCTTTGAGGCTCTCGCCGAGCCCGGGCGGCCCCGTGCGTACTGACGTGCCAGGGGAGTTCAGGCGCCCTGCCCCGGGCAGGCGGCTGGGCGGACCCCCACCCTGGGTCGTAAAACATGAGGGGAGGCGTGGGGAGGCCTTGGCCGAGCCCGCCGGCTAGTCTGAGAAGCCAGGCTGGCTGTTGGTGAGTGTGGAGACTCTGGGTAAGCTCGCGTGTGCTCAGTCCCAGCCCCTCCACCTGCCCCTGGGACCCAGGGCTGGGCATGACCTGTTCTGTCCCCCCAAATGCAGGCTTAAGTCCACTCCCCGCCCTAAGTTCTCTGTGTGCGTCCTGGGGGACCAGCAACACTGTGACGAGGCCAAGGCTGTGGATATCCCCCACATGGACATCGAGGCATTGAAGAAGCTCAACAAGAATAAGAAGTTGGTCAAGAAGCTAG